AGGTTGACCGGGACATCTATGTAGAACGTGTGTAGCTTCTGGAAGCCTTCTGGAAACTTCTGGTTCCTTCTGTAGCTTCTGGAAGTCTTTCTGGAAACTTCTGGTTCCTTCTGCAAGCTTCTGGAAGCGTTCTAGATCTAGGTTGCAGTTGATACTCTTCTAGAACGTAGGAGGGCTTCCAGAAATCATTCTGGAAGCATTCTGGATCTTTCGTGTGATTGGCTTATTTGTCCGGTATTCGAGAAGAGTGGTGCAGCCCTAAGCTCGCCCACTCCTCTCACTCCTCTTCAGTACCAGCAACATCTGACTCGGGAGTCAGCAACTAATAAAAGCATCTCCATATTTCCATTCCAAGTCTCTCGCGGTTGGAGACGCACAGAGTGTGAACCTCTGAGGTAGGCTACACAGCCTCCTGGCATCTGCAGCATCGTACTGCTGCTAGTGCACAGCGAAATGTGGCTGACATGAACCAGCTCTTATACCCCGGACTTTCAGTGTAATCCCGTGAGCGTAAATTGTGTTGGCTCAAATTGCAGAAGTGCAGAAGTTTGCAAGGTAACAAATATGAAGAACTTACGGCACGCTTACGACAGATGTTGGCACTGTACGAATGGTAATCATCGCGTTGCTACAGTGTTGGGGGTCAAACACGTCATCGACGTTCTCTGAAAAAGGATGTTCGGATTCCTATGTGCTCGTTAGGGAGAGGGAGGGGGGGAAATAGAAAGATGGAAGATGGAGAGGGAAAGGCAAAGGGAGAGAGAGCGAGAGAGAGAGACAAACACAGACAGATAAACAGAAACAAACACACACGCGCACACAATAAAATTGAATCTAGATTGGAAATCGGTCGCTTCGTGTTGTATGGCGACAAGTGACTCATTTCCCCAACATGGATCGTCAACCACGACTCGATGTAATTGATGAGATAGGTCGGGGAGAGAGAGGAGTGGCAAACGGAGATGGAGAGGCTCAAGAGGATAAGGCTGTTCGGCTTGCCGCCGAAAGACGGCGGCCAGAGCCCCGTAAGCGGGCCGGGCGGCGGCGAGGAGGCGGGGCGAGGGGGAGGGAGCATCAGCCCCAAAAACAGCTCCAAGAAGCAGAATCGAAGCAGGCATGGCATCGGCTTATTGACTGAGATGACTCCAACTTTCCTTACAAACCCCGTCGTCACTGCCATCCTCTTGCCCGACTCCTTTCGGTGGATGGATTGTAAATACGGTGCGTGTCTTGTGGCTTGTACTCCACACAGGGGTGAACAAGCCACGACCCTGAAGTTCTTGGAGCTGCGAGGTTACTACACTGCAAATGTTCGCACGATGAGCTTGCCGCACGAAAGCGATGTTAACCCCTTCATGAAAACGACAACGACGACGACGACGACGACGACGACGACGACGCCCGCTCGCACTCGATATTTGCAGGCTAGCGGTCGGGCGGGCCCGGGAAGAGTTCGAGCAGGCCGTTAAGGGGGGCTTTGAGCGCATTTACCCGCCCTCGGAGACGTCACCGGATCCCCGAGCATCCTATGCAAAGGTTAAAATACATTGATAAATCACGTGGTTTGTATGTGTTGCAGTTGATCAAGATGTTCTGTCCTAACCAAGCATCGGGACTCTTCTCTCTCACCACAGCCTTGTTTCAGGCTGGATGCATCAAATGGACGGAATTCATGGAGAAGCCGCCTTCAGGTCGCAGTAAAAACAGTGCATTGCTTCATGCCGTAGCAACACGTTTATGTGCAAGTTCAATATTTGGGATTGGTTTCTGTTTGGAATCGGTATTCCCCGCCGTGTGAAATCACCCCCCTGGGAATTCGTTATCACCTCAAGTGTCCTCGAGGTGTTCCCGCAACGATTCCCGCAACGGTAGACTTCTTTCGATGGTGTCGCCTCGCAATAGCTATAGCTTCTTCTTCACCTTTCTGTCATCAATACAGCCGGTGTTGGCCCCGAAAAGACTCGCGGTTTTCATTCGTTCTTGTGCCCAGCTGTGAACAAGGAAGCAGGTGTCAATCAACTTGCAACTATGGATGATTCGATCAGCGTAACTTCATATTTGCGCAATGCAGTTTTGAACCCATCGTTTTTCGGGGACGATAATAGAGGAAGAAAATAACAACAACGTGAATATCGCCTCACCCCCCCTTATAACTAACCATTCCGTCCCATGCTCTCATCTCGTCTACTTCTGCCTGTCATTGATTGAAACAATTCTGATTCCAGGTTCTTCGCGTGGCAGAAAAGGTATTCTCGAGCCTGTCCAAGTACAGCCAGTCTCCAGTTCACTCTCCGCGGTACGTCGCGGCGAATGTTTCTATTATCAACAGCACAAGCAAAACCCGAAAAATCAGGGACGGCGACGAAGCAGTGTCGGTGCCTGTACCGTCCCAAACAAACACGAGGGGTACCAGTGTCGGTACCAGCCGACTACACTACCACCACTACCGACGTTGTTGGTGCTCGAGTTCGGCTCAAATTCCTTTCTCGTTCGTGTTTCTCCTCAACTCTTTCACTGGAGCCAACCAACGCTCGCTGGTAGGTTGTCATTCGTGTTCATACCATGGATAGGTCGAGCTGGGTTTCAACGGCTTGGACCTGATTCTCGACACGCATTTGACGTCAACCCCCCGACTAAAAAACGTCAGCGAACACCTCGTCCGTGCTTGGATCGTACGCCCGCTCACAAGCTCGACACAAACACTTCAGGAGGGACGAAATATGAAAGCGGCAAGGCCGTGTCCCTGGTGCATCCTCACGCATAGTCGGTGCAAGCGCTTCGAAGTAGACAACTTGTGACGAGGTGCACGTGCATGTTTGGCTTGCAACACGCACCACCAGAGGACAACAACGACGTTTCTTTGTTATCTCCGAAAACATTTGCAACGGCTACAATACGCAGGTTTGCGAGCCCGCCTCCAAGTCCTAGCCGCGGGAACCGGCCGGGCTCAGCGCAGCCCCGGTCTACACTGGGCAGCGCAAGAAGCCCTCCCCAGCAGTCCGCACAACATTCCGCGTCACCCCGGGCTTCGCTAGCCACTGAGTCCCCGCCGGTCGCCGGTGAAACCACCGACCACAGCGATGGACGAGGTGAGAATGGGAGTGGGCGGAAATCCTCCGGTGCGCTCCCGGGTGTGATTCCGCCGCCGGTAGTCGTTGACGCGACCGCGACGGCGGGCCCGGGGAGAGAAGCAGGGGTAGAGGCTTGCTCCACCGCTCCGGCGGCAGGCGCAGCCGAGGAGGCGTGCCTCCAGGACGGGGACGGCGAAGACTCTTCCCCGCCACCGAGAACGGATTCTGGCCCTGGCGGTGACGGAGGCAGCCGGGGTGGTGGCGATCTTCCTGAAGGCAGGAAACAACGCAGAGTAGAGTTTGTAGAGGCTGACACCTCCGATCACGGTAGCGGCGGTTTCGCGTCGGGGGATGCAACGTCTCCGTCCCCTTCCTCGCGCCGGAGAAGGAACAGCGGGAGGGGGAAACGAAGCAAGAAGAGGAGCACCAAGAACAAGAAATCGGCGTCTCGGAGCCCGGCGAGAACGAGGGGCAGGGGCCGCGGCGCCGGCTGCAGGGATTGGGAGAAGGAGGCCAAGCGTCGAAGAAAACTCTTCAAGAAGGCGGCAAGATTGAATGCGGAGGCGGCGGCGGCGGCTGTAGAGGGAGAGGCGATAGAGGATAGCGGTGTTGGTGGGGAAGGGAGAGAAAACAACGGGGGGCACCTTGGGGGCGAGGAAACGGGGACACCCCCGGCTGGATTTGACGAGAGGTGGGGCGGTCGTCATCAGGACGGGCGGGAGAGCATGGTGGATTTGGAAGGCCTGCATCAGGACCTGCACCAGGACATGCAAATGCAGATGCAGATGCAGCAGAGTCGGCAATGGAATGCCACCGAGAACCTCGAGTTCCAGCAGAGGTAAACGTGGAAAGAGAGGCCGACAATAATGAGCATCCTATTCGCCATGATCGCAAGCAGGAACAGGATAGATTTTTTTTCTACAGCTTGAGACGGGAGAAATGCGCATGAAGGGCTTCGCGGTACACAACCCCGCCGAGTGAGTGAATTGCTGTGCTCGGTTCATGCTCTCCTTGGTCGCGTGACGCCGTATGGGCACATTATGACACACTCAGGGTTCGTACAAACGACGCTTCATATCAAGAGGCGTCCTCACTTGGTCCGTATGCCATCTCTAGCTGCGCACAAGGCAGGAGCTGACAACGAGTGTGTAGACCTGCACCCCACTGTCATTCGCTGCCCCGGCAGCCCTAGAACAGAGGCTCCGATAGGAACTCACACGAATGGGTTGGGCCCTCAATATTAAGCGGTCCAACTCCCCCCCTCAAACACGCCTGTTTCTCCCCCTCTTTCTTGCATACCCCTCCCTCTACCAATCACCCATCGACGAGTAGCAGCGTCTACACGCGGTCTGCAGGGTGGCCTACGACCGGCTATCGAGGAATGGGTAGCATCGTACGGACCAACAACGAGCCCCGGGAGTGGAGAGGGACAGGAGGCGCGGCGGGGACAATGGAGGGGTTTCCTGCCGGCTGCGGGCTGCGGGTACGTATGGAATTTTTTGTTGGTCCTCGCGTTGTTTTTCGCTATTCGCGATGAAGTCGCTTCGTTATCGTTCCGTTTCAACCACGTCGATGCAGCAGCACCCACGGGTAAGCACGATGGCCTAAATACATCAACTCTGCCAAACGGATAACGACACCGATAGATGCCATGTTTAAAATGATTTCTTCCCGTGCGTTCCCCGTGATCCTCATCATGCCTTTGCTCCTGTTTTCCGTCCTGTCTGTCGATTGCGTGCCGTCGACCATCCGCCGCCAACTCGACCAAAAAAACCCAACAATCCGAACAACAACAGCCGGTCGTCAATCACCGGCCACCCGGTAACCAACCAACATCGGGGTACCACCCGTACGCCGCGGTCCACTACCAGCTCGCCCCGTCTTCTCCTCCTCCCCTTGCGTCGCGGGGAGACTGCTGGCCGACTCGGGCCCCGTTCCGCCCATCCACCGCGGGGTCGATCCACGGCGGCTGCGGGACAGCGGCAGCAAAGCCTCCACCGTTCCGGTTCTCAAGGTCCAAGATCGGGGACCCCATGGCTCGCGCTTCGGCCGGCGTCGACGGTCACGGCGGCGGCTGTGGTGGTGCTGGTGGGTATCACCGCGTCGTTAACGGGTGCACGAGCCGTGTCGCGGCGAGGGTGCCGAGGCGGCCGAACAGCGCGGCGCAGTGCATGGGGGCAACGCGAAGGGCGATCGAGGTGCCGGCGGCCCACCCGGTAAGGATGCCGCCGCCGGCTACTGCCGAGACAGCCACCGCGTTGCCTCCGGTTCAGCCGCGGCGCCAGCCGGAGTCGGTGGCGGCGGCGGCGGGAGCCGGCTCCATTATCGCGGGTGGTAGACCAACAGACTTGGCTTCGTCGCTAGGAGACAGGGTAAGAGAACACGGATTCGACGCTGACACGAGGAGGATATTCGACTACGGCGGTGGCGGAGGCGACAACCGACTGCAGCAGCGCCCACAGACTTCGACCGGCAGCAGAAAAGCGTGCCAAAACATCGTAAACCTGTTGCCGCCCGCATCGCCTGCGAAAACTGCGGGTGAGAACGGCAAACTCCATTCCGCGAGTGGGACAAGGCCAACTAGCAGCCCCCGAAGGCCGGCAAAGGGCAGAGGTAGAGGCGGCGGCACGGTTGCAGCGGAACTGATCATGCCGACGGTTTCGCTTTGCCTTGGGAGCAACGACGAAGAATGCGGGGTCGCTGCCGCTGTCGCCAGCCCGGAAGGCCACCGCGCCTTTACCAGTGGGAGGGAAAGAAACTCTCCCCGCATGCGCCAGGCCTCGCCATCTTCCCTCCTGGCCGACGCCGCCACCGTTCCCACTGCACAAGCATGTCAAGGTTTGTCTGACAGGCCTGTCAGCACACGTTCCCGTGGTAGTTACGGCGGCGGCGGCGGCGGCGGCGGTTTCAGTGGAGGCAGCGGTGGTGGTAGGAATGGGAGTGGTAACTGCATACGACATGCAGAGTCAATACCTGCTGGAGTGGAAAAAAAATCGGCCCGTTCGCACGGGTTTCGTAGATGGCGCCCGGGGGAATGTGAGCTCGGCATCCGTTAGGGTCAGAGAAATACATAGCGGTTAGATAGTTGTTCCTGTTGATCAGCAAGAACGTGGCTTGGCGGGGATGGTCCAAATCGCGCCCGCCCCCAAGCGAGGTCAATATCCAGGCCTACCCGAAAGAGGAAAATTACTGTTTTTGTGTGCCTCCATTAGACTTGTAGACTTGATTCCAGAAGAACGGGAGTGATGTAGAATGGAATTTCCGCTCCAAGTTTCGTAGAAGAACTTTTTTGCAAAGGGGAGAGTCACGACCAAAGATGAGCGACACTACACGGTTCGTCTGCAAAAAGTGATTCGCATGCACCAGATAGCCTGGTTCAGAAGAACCGAATCATGGGCTCACGGCCGACATCCTCATTTTGGCCTTCCGGCGTAGTGTAGACAATCACCCAGTTGATCCAGGGGGACTGTGCCACCTTACCGTCTGGGCGTTTTCCGGCGGCGGGCACCCTGTACATAATTGTATCGTGGAGAGAGAATATAGGCCAAATAGCAGCGGCACTGCGCGTGAGAAATATGAACAGCAACCATCTGCCAACTATCTGTGAGTCTTTCAGTCAGCTATATAGTGTCTTCAATTCAACGAAGTCCAGAAGCGTAATTTAACTAAATGATCCTTTTGAGTACACCTCTTGTGTATTTCTCGAGAAGGAACACGTTTGTACATTATTGTACCAGGTGTATTTCGGACCCTATAGATATACTTTTGTCCCCGTCTTGTTCCGTCTATCTGTGGAAACGACACCGAAATTCCTCCTCAAGTACTTGCAAGGGGGTTGAGGCGTGGGGGAGGGGGGTGGGGGGGTGTACTCATAGTCGTGCATGCCGTAGTCGTTAGACCATTGACCTCGTATCCCTACAAAGCCGGGACGGAGCACGCCGGGTTCTCACCGGACCAGGCTCTCACATCATCGAGCGCGAAGCGCCGTGAGGTAGTCGGCGAGTCGCATGAAGGGTGCACTGCATCCTGCTAAGGGTGTTCGGCATCTTGTGCTTACTTCCTTGAGTACGGATGACAGCTGCGTATGACTTCATTTATTTTCTGGTGCTTTCACTTCCAGAGAAGGTTGTAAGCACTGTGTAACTGCCTCGAGGATGCGTGACCATTTTAACACAACGTGGTGCGATCATCCCCCTTGCGCGGAGTGAGGGCTCTCGACCGCGCACAACATGATCTACTCGACCACCATTGTCGTTACCGCCAAAAAAACAGATGTAAAAAAGAAAAACACGATGGCAAACACCGGGGGCGGTGGGGCAGATGGAATCACGCTTAATTTCGCCGTCATTGAATGCATGGACAAACGCAATGAATGACAGAGGTGTTCCGTCAAAGCCTGTGTTTTTGAAAATGGAACAACGTGCCTCACAATAAATACCTCGTAGTGTGTTTGAGACATGAACGCAATGGGGAAAGGAATACGGCACGTATGCATGTAGCCCCCTTTCGTGCACTCTTGGGTGAGTGCTGTAGTGCTCGTAGGATGACATGGAGAGTGGTCTCGGCAAACCTTCTATGACCTCAACGGCTCCAGTTTGCTACCCCTTGTCACTACGGAAGTTCGTTCCTTGGCCACCGAGAGTAACGACACGGGAAGCTACTCGGTCGAGGCCAGATTATTCATGCACCGCCGTGGATATCGTCATCAACCACAGGTTCGTCTGGTTCGTTGTTTCGGTGGTTGGTTGTGCCAGTTTGGGCCCGACAAAAGGGCCGACCGGGGTGGCGTTGATGAACGAAGGACGGCTGACGACAACAACCATGTTCATTGTTTAAGAAGGCAGCCTGTATGTCGGGGGGGTAAGTAATCGGAATTAACCTCGACGTGAACGTGGCTAGGGAGCACCGTGTATGCGAGTCTCGACTATTCCCTCACTTGAGGTCCCAACGGAGGCAACCATACATATCGCTACAAAACGTAATCCTCATCACCCAACCACGTTTATTTACTTCCATCCCACCCAACCAAGCATTCTGGGGGCATTATCCGTCCACCCATCTGCAAATGATGGCAAAGCTGGACAAAAGTTCCCACATCAAGCAAGCCAGCGGGATGGTCTTCCTGATTGCACACAGAGCGTGAAAATCACCACTCTGCCAAAATGAACATGGTGGGTAGTTTCAAACCGTATCACTACCTGGCGCCAGGATTGAGGCCTCATGATATCCCCACATCGACTCTACATCACTCCTGAGAGAACTGAACACCCACAAGGGTTGTTTTTGGTCATGGGTTCCTGCCGCGAATGTTTTCTCCGCTGTGTGCTGGTGGCAACAAATTGTCATCACCCCTTTAATTCATTGCAAAACCATTTTTTGTTGGGTTTTCAGACGGCATGGTAGCCAAAGGCAGGTGCCTACCTGTAATGCGTTCATCAATACGCTCCCTTGGGTCGTGAGCACTAGTCTAGTCTATGTAGTCCTTCTCTGACTGTTCGTGTACCCCCGTGACCACCCGCGGAGGTTGCCGTGCCCACCCACGGAGGAAACCGTGCCCACCCACGATTTTTTAAAGGAATGCCCGCCCGACGGTGGCTTGCCTCCTAGATGTAGTAGATG